CAAAAATGTGCTGAGAGATTTAATTCAAGTGTTGAGAAGGAGAAATAGCTAATAAGAAGGTAGAAAGAACAATTTGGGAGAAGAAAGCCTTTACTAGAGAAAGATTTTGCTAGAGATTTGACTGCAGTCAATAGCAGGAGCTTTGTGGGAGCAGCTGCTGTTTCGAGACCCAGGGGAGGATTTTGAGTAATACTCGCCACATGCCACAGTATCTTGTCACAGAGAAAAAGTCACAAGTACCCATTTTACCTACAAGGGAGCCAACTTCCAAGGTTGAATGACTGTCCATATACCCTTTTGTCATCCGGCAGCCCAGATCAGACCCCTGAAACTTGGATCTTCCCGCCCCACTCTGCCTGTCACTAAGTGCTGTCTTCGTTTATGGCCGTCACCGTATTGAAAGCCTTTCTTTTCCTAGGGTTAGCCTTTTCCTCTACCCTGTACTGCCCCCACTTCTCCCTGAGGCTGCCCCACTGTCACTGATGGCACCATGCCACCGAAATGATTGAATTATTTTGCAGTTGGTTCAGTTAATTTTTCTATCTAGGACAGCTTCCTAGACTATCTACAGATATGTAGCCTGATAACCACATTTCACTGAACTTATGTAACTGACTAAGTGGTTCAACATAATGCATTTTTCTTTAACCTGCTGGAGAGCGGCAAGCAATCTGAGGTTGTAAACCTCAAATCCTGGGACCAAGAGGTCAGCATTAATGTGTGGCTTTACAGTGACCCAGCTGATGACCCAGCAAAAGATTTCAGGAATTTTTTTCTTATAGATTTGAAAGATATTGAGATGAAAAATCCAAATTAATGACATCTGTTTTTCTGTACCAAAAGAAAATTCAGACTTGTTTTATCTTGTTTGAAAGATCTAGAATCTTTGATCATATCAGTCAATACAGATTGAACATTGGTAATCCAAAATCTGTCATGCTCCTAAATCTGAAACGTTTTGAATGCTGACACTATGCTCATAGAAAATGCCCATTGGAGCATTTCAGATTTCAGATTTGTGAACTGGGTATCCCGAATTAGAAGGTATATATGATGCAGATTTTTCAAAATTTGAACAAGCCACAACATTTCTGGCCCCAATCATTTTGGATAAGGGATATTCAACAAATAAGTCTCAGTCCTCTGCCCTCATCCTGCTCTCTCTCTCCCCCTCACTATTTCCCTCTTCCTCTTGCCCATAACCATCAGCTGGAGGCATATGATTCTCCAAGTCTGTATCCCCAATCCTGGGATCCCTGTGCTCCCTGCCTCATCTGTTTCCCAAGCCCCATTAGACTCTCCCCCTGTCATCCCCCCCCATAGTCTTGCCAAACCTCACCATTGAACAGTCACCTAATCCCTCCCTGAACTTCATGTCCTGTGTATTTAACTTCAGCCACCATGCATGAGGCCCCTGCTCACCTGTTATGCTCAGGGCCAGGCCTTGGAGACGCAACTGTGCTCGAGAGGAGCCACAGAACCCAACCTGCATGGAGGGGCCAGGCACACCTCCAGACTGCTTGGCTCGTGCCGTTCCTGTGTCTGGAGTGACCACTGTCCTCCTATCCCACTACTGCATGTCCAAGCCTATCTACTCTTCAAGGCCCAGTTTGCTGCTCTCTCCCTAGAGCTCCTCCTCAATGCCTCGTCGCCAGAGGTGACTTCTACTGCTGCTAAGTTCCTGCTCATTTTGCCTTTTTTCTTGTACGAGAGGCACTTGAGCATTTTCTTCCTTCTCATCTTTGAGGGTAGGCTTCCTAAGGCAGAGGCTGGGGCTGGGGCTTGCCTATCTCTGTGTCTTCCCCAGGATCTAGCATAATGGCATGGATGTAGCAAACGTAATAAATTTGAGACTTCGTGAAAGTTCTTTCCACTTTTCCTACCGTGTGTTTTAGCCAAGGGTTACTTGCTCTTTGTTAATCTTGCAAGTTCAATCAAACTGGTTTTCTTTTTCTGTGAGTATGTACCAGGCACACAGTAAATAATTTTGAGTCTTGAGTATAACAGACTGGCAGTGGGAGGTAGACAGGGGAAATGTTTGTTTACTGGCAGATTTTCCTAAATCTTGCAAAGTGAATACATTACTCAAATGAAAAGGCATCTTAGAAAGTAGGATGTTTAAAATTCTCAGTCCTTATTTTATTTCTGATAATAAAGAAGCGAATAGTGTATCTCTGGGAACCACCTGGAGGAAAAAAAAGACTGGTTCAGACCCGGGTTCAAATCCTAACTCTGCCATGCACTGATTTATGCAGCAGTCTAGGCCAAGTTATTTAACTTACCTGCACTTCAGTCTTTATCTCTGGCTGTCAGCATCTTGACAGACAGTTTCTTGCTCATCTTTGAATCTCCCGTTCCTAAAACAGTGCTTTGGTAATAGGGACTCACTGAATATTTAACAAATAATAGAAAGAAGTTATCCACATTGTCTGCTCTATTTTTATAGTTAACAGTGATGACTGTAAACACAGGGAATGTTTAACCCATAGTCATTTTTAGTTTGCTTTTCAAATTCAAAAACAGATACTTCCGTTATGGGGTGACTTCCCTGATCTTATGGTAGCCATACTCTTTGGCACATCATATTTATGTGCCAGGGCATAACATACTGAATATAACAGACTGGCAGTGGGAGGTGGACAGGGGAAACGTTTGTTTACTGGCAGATTTTCCTAAATCTTGCAAAGTGAATACATTACTCAAATGAAGAGGCATCTTATAAAGTAGACTGTTTAAAATTCTCAGTCCTTATTTTATTTTATTTCTGATAATAAAGAAGCTAATAGTGTATCTCTGGGAATACACCTGGAGGAAAAAAAAGACTGGTTCAGACCCGGGTTCAAATCCCAACTCTGCCATGCACTGATGGCAGTTCATCTCCATTTGGAACTATAATATTCCCATTCATTTGTAAATGCTGTATTTTGTTTTAATGCATATCAGAACAGTATTAAAGAGATCTGTTTTGTTTTTGAAGCATTGTCCTACAGAAGTTAAATTTTAAGTTCTAATACATCCTCAAACATCATAACGATTTATCACAGTTCTGTCTCCTTGAAAATGGAAAACTCTCCTAACAAAATAAATGCTGTCATTAAATTGCTAACACTTATAACACTCAAAACATTTTACTAAAATGATCTTTCTGTCAACTTACATTGTCTTATTGCTTTTTGCAAGTATTAATTTTTTCTAGCTCTGCCTTTTTAGATTCTGGTGAATTCCAAAAACTGCTGGCGTCAGTGGCCTCCATGTGTTTTCAGACAATAAAGTGGGGAAATGGAAAGAGGTACCATTCTCTCAAATGTGAATAAACTTAGTAGAAAGTTGGACAAGGACAAAATATTAGTAGTACTTTCTTTCCATTAAAAATTATGTAAGGTCTTTTCAGAATGCTTACGCTACCAGCTTGTAGGTAATGAGTTTGAAAAGCAAGGACTTTTAAAAGTTTGCTTCTAGCATTTTGAGACTAAATGTTCATCATTTTATCAAGTAATTTGATTCACTTATTAACTTAGTCTGTATCCTGAGAGAGACCTGTATTTTAAAATTGCAATATTTTTTCCTTCAACGTCAAGAGGAGTGGTTGTACTCTGTAATGCTATGCTTAAGTAAAAATTACACATTCAGGGCATCTAAATTGGCATGCCAAATTATAGGACATTTTAATTATTATGTGGATGTGACAGATTCAATTATTCTTGAACTCTTTTGAGAAAGCTGCCCTTAGCAAGTGATTCACAGTAGTAAACAAAAGATTAACAGGAAAATGCCCTTTATGAGACTTAATAAATGTGTCCGATTAAATACCATGGAACAGAATTAACTACAGTATCTAGATGTGGAAAAACAACCTGTGTCCTGCTCAGAGGTTCAGCATATTCTCTTAAGATAAATTTACTCTAAATAAGGTCTAAATGAAGATCTAAGTACCACTTAACATCAGAACTGTTTTCCTAGGTACATCATTTGGGCCAATTGTTTCAGACTCTTTCTTCCCTCTGAAACCATTAACTGAAGCCACTAATAAGTAGAAACGTGGAGTTAAGAGCTCCTTTCTCTCTCTTTCAATTTCCAGTGGACATATTAATGAGCAATAAAGCAGCTAAAAGGCAGGCAGCTAAAGAAAGAGCGAGAAAGAAGCAAGGAAAGATGATTAGAAAAAGAGATATTTGACCCTCAGCAATGCACATTGGGCTGCCCTGTGTGCTATGTGGGCTGTGATCACTGGAATTTGGAGCTCAATTTCTTAATTGCTTCTTTAGTCTTATCCAAAGAGAAAATTGGATTTCTCGAGATTTCTTCTGTGCAGAGAGCAATTATGCTAAAGCTGCTTAGGTAGCAGCTCTTTTGGCCAGCTTTTCACTCTTAGAATAATAAACTACCCCCAGAGCCAGCTTCAGGGTGCACCTTAACCTCGCACAAGGGTTTAGCCCCTCTTAGCAGCTGACATATTCTAGGACCCTAAAGAAATTCCAGAAGCATTTACTTCATTTCCAAATAGTGCTCAGATTCTATCAAACTAGCTCAGCAATTAATTTGCTGTCAAGTCTCTGCCATCTGGTTTTTATGACATTTCCCTACGTTTTAGATAAATTGAGTTTGATTTCTTAAGTCAAAAAGTTTCCCAACTCTGAATATGTATAAATAGCTCTCAGAGCTTAGAGTCTGAGAGTTAAAAGCACTAAACTGATGATAACAACCCAGAGTGCCCTTGGCAGAATACAAAATGCCACAGAACTGCTGAGTGCCCATAATCATAGTCTAGAACTTTCATTTTCTTCCTTTCCTATGACATTATAATAATAAAAGGTCAGGTGAGGCCTTTGTTTGCTTCGTAAAACAGGGTAATCAAGCCATTTAAACACCATCCAAGTCTGCCACCCAAATAGATGGTCTGTATTACCCCTCTCCTGTATTTCTTTCCGAAATATTGTCTGAGTTATAATATGTTACTGCAAAACATTGTGTTTCAATGGTTTCTTTCTGCTGATGAACAGGTTTTGGATTCAGGAAGACTGAAAGAATATGATGAGCCATATGTTTTGCTGCAAAATAACGAGAGCCTATTTTACAAGATGGTACAACAACTGGGCAAAGCAGAAGCCGCTGCCCTCACTGAAACAGCAAAACAGGTGAGCGTGCACCGCGGACTTGTAATTAAAGTTTGTCTCAGCAGTTCAGTTCTCACCATTTGGCACCACAGGTACGGTAACGAGCACCGTGTGCCCTTTTCAATTATAAGCCTCCAGAGACAAAGCTTCACGGCTGGGCCTTAACTACACGTCCCAGGTTGAAGTCAGGTCTGCAAAGAGTCGGCAGAAGCAGATGGGGTCAGGGGATAGACTGTGTGCACACACGTGTGCAAGCAGGTGTACCCATAAGGGAGAGAGATTTTAGACCAGACTTTTCACACATTTAGACTGTGAGTTCAGATTCTCATATAAAGAAGCATATGGCATAAAAAATACTCATATTTTGCAGACCCGTTGCATTTCGTTCTTTTGGGTGCTTGGCACGTTTAAGATGCAAATACTGTTGAGGTACATCCTGGAGATTTGAAAGTTTTAGCAAAACACGTGGAATGTCATTTATTTGTTGTAGAAAGACATGCCAGGGAAATGTATAGATTACTTTTGGTTTTTGTTTTATAATTTATAAAGAAAACTCTTACACTTTCTCTCTATATTTCTCCCTAATTCTTTGTTGTTTAGAACTAGGACCAAGTGTCCCTTTATGCTTCTTCTGTCTTCTGGAAGATGAAATTGTCATCAGAACAAATCAGGAATTTCTAATACCTTAAAGCTATAGCCTGAATAGTACTCAAAGATTCACAAAGCATAAAAGACATTTAGGTTACGTGATATCTTTCCAACAATGGTGACGTAGACCTGTCTCATTCTATAGATGTGATAGCTGCAGTTTGGTTTAGGGGACTTGGCCAATATCAGGCAGCCGCTGTAATTCTTTCTTAAAGTTGTATGAGTTGGGAGTTGTATTGATGGGAGGAAGGGAGGAGGGAGGGAATGAAGGAAGAAGGGAGGGAGAGTGGGAGGGAGGAAGGGGGAGGAAAGAGGGAAAGGAAGGCCATACAGATGGATGGTGGGGTGGTGTTCTTACCTCTTGATATGCATGGCTTAGGGTGGACTGAGATCTCCAGTAGTACCTGATGAGGCTCCTATTCAAACAGTTCGTCTCTAGGCATGATCATACGGGTGTGACTTTCCTTCTTCATTTGCTCCCAGATTTTCAACACTGTAGGTAGAATAAAATTGCTTATTTCTCTGTAATGTTTGAAATACCTACCTATTGAAGACTACAGAATGAGAACACACGTTCCAGTATCTTAACAGTCCTTCTGTATTAAAGGTTCATTCAAAATAAAGGCTAAGTTCACTTCTGTCACTATTTCATCTCATTCCCCCTTAGAAATGAGGAGCTGTGTTTTACACTCTGTAGGCTATTTCTCTGAAGCCTGCTTCCATCCTCAAACTGTTCGTGAATGCCTGTGTGTGCAAAATACTACGCTGGGTACTAAGAAACACTTTAGACCTGCCCCTAGTCATTGACAATATGAACCAAAGAATAGAGAAGAGCATGCTGAGCACAACGATGATGATGAGGCTTTGACACAGGCCATGCACTGTGCAGTGATATAGGTTCTCTTCCATTATGCCTGTTTAAGAAACTGAGGCTTAGAGCAGAGAAGAAAGATGTCCATGATCTGAATCATAGGCAGAGTCAGGTCTAAGCCCAGATTTAGGAATGGCAAGGTCTGTGTTCTGAAACTTTCATAAGAATTCCATTGTATATGAGTGAGGAGGGAAGTTGTACTTGGAACACTATTTTTTTTTTTTTTTTTTTTGAGTTGGAGTCTCACTCTTGTCGCCCAGACTGGAGTGCAGTAGCCGCTCCCGGCCACCGCAGCCTCGATCTGCTGGGCTCCGGCGATCCTTCCGCCTCAGCCTTCCGAGTAGCCGGAATTACAGGCGTGCGCTACCACGTCCGGCTGATTTTTGATTTATTGTAGAGATGAGGTCTCGCCTGCCCAGGCGGGTCTTGAACCCGCGGGCTCAGCCAATTCACTCACCTCAGCCTCCCAAAGGTGCGGGATTACAGGCTGAGCCACCGAGCCCGGCTGAACACTATTTTTTTAATGCCTGAAATTTGCGGAATACTTTTATCTTTTACAGTATCTCCCAGTCAAAACTTCTCTCATAAAACCTGATCAGTCATTTGGAATTCCCAGTATAATTTAGTCCCAAAACAGCCAGGAATCTTGAAACCCCTTTTTATTTGTTGATACCTCAGGCATTTCACATCAAAGAGATGTGTTCCCACCTTCATGTCAAAGTCCCAATTTTTAAAATGTGTTATCATATATTATCAAGGCATTGAGTAATACGAAATAGATCATAGAATTTTAGATAGCTTCAGCTAACATAAGACAATATAGTTTAACACCTTTATTTTGTAGATGAGGAGGCCAAGACCTCAAGAAGCAAGGCAGTCCAGTGTTAGACTAGTTTGCAGCAAAGATAGAATTAGAAATATTTTCTTTTAATCAGTGGTTCAATTCAGGTGTAATATGCATGCAGAAAAGCACATGGATCATAAAATCAGAAATCTCTTGATTCCTGATCCAGTAATCTTCCATCTAATTCAACAGTATTCATGATAATTTACACTTGTTTGCTTCTTTATAACTTATTTTACAAGGGAGAGAGGGAGAGGAGGAAAGAGAGAAAAAAGAAATAGTTCTTGTATATATGATTCCACTTAATCCTCATAGCAGCTTTTTAAAATTTTTAATCTTTATTGACGGGGATGCTAGGCCCAAGGTTCTCCTGTGGGGACAGAGCTGATCAGTAGAGAACAGAAGGCAGATCGCTGGGGAGTGTGATGTGTCACCCTGGGTACTACATTTAGTGTTGAGCTTAAAAACACTTCTTGTTTCATTTGGTATCCAAAGTAGGGCCAGTCACCCAATATACATGGTGGCAGAACATCCCTCTTGCATTTCAGTCCTGCCTAACTGCTGTTCAGATCACCTCTGCAGAAAGACACAAGGAAATAACATAGCTTGAGTCTCGTCTGAGTTGAATATTTCCTTGACATTATTTCTGCATACAAGTGGTCCTCTTAGGAGAACAGACTGTGAGCTTGTCAACCTTTTAAACGTACAAGCATCAAATATCAGTGCACCATTTAGAACTGTAACACCATGAGGATTAGTGTAAATCAACAAGCGTCTCAGTCTAACAGATTAGAATTCATTTGTTTGAAAAGAAAACTCAGCATCAGGGAAGAGGTACTTCCAAGTCACGTATTCTTGGCTATGTAATTGCTTTCCTGAAAATGTTGTGCAGGCAAGTTGAATCACTTTTGGATGGGCCTGATAGATAACTTACAGGATAGTGGAGGAAACTCTTTTTAGATTCATAAGGCTGAAGGAAGCACTCGTTCGTTTGCTCAGTTTGCCATAACAAAGTACCAGAGATGAGGTGGCTTCAACAGCAGAAGTTTATTTTCTCAAAATTCCATGCTGTGGAAGTCTGAGATCAGGTGTCAGCTGGGTCGATGTCCTTGGAGGCCTCATTGCTTGGTTTGTAGATGACCATCTTCTCGCTGTGTGTTCGTGTGGCCTTTCTTCTGTGTGTGTTTGCATTTCGATCACCTCTTCTTATAAGGACACCAGTCATATTGGATTAGAGCCCACCATAAAGACTTCATTTTATTTTATTTTATTTTGAGTTGGAGTTTCACTCCGTCGCCCAGACTGGAGTGCAGTGGCCGCTCCCGGCCACCGCAGCCTCGCCTGCTGGGCTCCGGTGATCCTTCTGCCTCAGCCTTCCGAGTAGCCGGAATTACAGGCATGCGCTACCATCCCGGCAGATTTTTTGATTTATTGTAGAGATGAGGTCTCACTGCCCAGGCGGGTCTCGAACCCGCGGGCTCAGGCAATCCACTCACCTCAGCTCCCAAAGGTGCGGGATTACAGGCTGAGCCACCGAGCCCGGTTTAAGACTTCATTTTAATTTAAAAATTTCTTTAAGGACTGTATTACCTTGAATGCTACTTTAACTGTATTCTATAGGTTCTGACATGTCGTGTTTTTATCATAGTTTATCTATAGTTTATCTATAGTACTTGGGGTTATGACTTCCACATATTTATTTGGGGGACACACAACTCAACCCATAATCAAGGGACAAATGCCTGTTATTCTCTTCCCTGATGAAGCCCTCCTAGATGAGGTTTTTGAACTTCCTTTGTTCCTCATGTGTACTGGAGGTGACATTTTATCCATCTGTGAAATCACCAGATACAACTAAGAAGTTACAGAATCCTAACATCTAGAAGCCTGGACCTATGTGACTAGGTGGAGAAGGCACTTAGCAGCCAGTGCCCTTCAGAAGACACCCAAGGCCTCAGCCTCAGGGTCCTCATCTGCCCTGCCAGGATTGCAGTACTGCTGTGACTTCTTCACAGTTACACTATTGGATGAGATGGTATATGGCTACGTGCTTCGGAGAATATAAAATGTTTTACAAGTGTAAGAAAATCCTGCCTACTGATGATATAAGTTGGATCTTTTTTTTTAAGTTATAGACTGAACTCTTACTTCCCAATAATGACAGAGGTAGCCAAAGTTCTTCTAAGTAGCTTTCGAGACTCTGAATGATGAAAAATTACTTTTAATAACCAACTTCACAGATGGTACATGCCAGTGCTACAGAATTTTAAAAATTAATAGTTGTTTTTTTTTTTTAAAGAAAAACATAAGTAAAAAGTAAGTCACTCTCCCACTGCTGCCTCATATCCTTGCTTCCCTCCCCCAGGATGGAGCCCTGGCATGTCTTTCACAGTTTTGCTGACATTTTCTGTGTATAAATAAGAACATGTGCTTAGATAGCCTTTCTGTTTTTTAAGCACAAAGGATAGTTATTCTTTACTTTTTTCATTTAATATTAATTTTAGACTATATCAATACATATAGTTATCTCTTTTTTCAGTAGTTACCTGGTATTTATACTTTTTCACGCTCTACTTCCCATTTTTTCCCTTTCAATTAAGTTAGCTGTTACATTTTTGTTTTTCCCTCAGCGAATGAACTCTCAGATTTATTTACTAG